AACGGTCAGTTGAGCCCAAAGACTACAGACACTAGATAACACAAATCTGATCCATCTGTATAAGGTCAAACCAGAGAACACGTTTGCCTGTAGGCACTAACCAATCATGCCAAAAAGTAAGTTTTCTCAGGGGAGAAAATAGAGAAGCTGGGTCAGAATTTTCTTATCCAATCATTGCTTTCCCCCAAATTGGACAGGGCCAGCAGCAAAAAGGTCTGTACATTGCCGCCAATCCCTCTCCATGGGCACATATATTCAAACAAAGCGAGAAAGAGTATTTTGGTGGCCAATCACTATATAAGGCCTGCCCATTTTAGAACATACTCTTAACTACAGAAGTCATCACTCTAACCATGCATCTCTCTTAAAGTTGGAATCTCCCTATTTCAAACTTTAAAACAGTGAACTGCCTTCAGAAATGACTCCTCTTGCCTAACAGAAAATCATTGACAAACTACAGAACGACAAAAGGTGTTAGGTTAAAAAAGAAAATGAGAAACTCTTAAAGCTCACGACACACAGATAACTATATATTTGAAGAAAATTTCAAAATTCTAACTATCCACATGTTGGTATTTCATTGTTATGATTTAAAAGATTCTAATAGAAAGATCTGACTATGAAGCACTCGGCTGTTTAATGATAGCTGTGGCTTTTGGTCAAACAACTCCTCCTTTTGGAATTCTTACAGGGTTATTCACAAACGGGTGTCGAGTTTGGAGAAATGAATAATCTAGGCCCTCCACCTGTGGTGAAACTATAATTCCCATGATGTATATGTCTTTGCATCCATTCATCTGCCCCATAGAATTTGTAGTTTCACCACAGCTGGGGGGCCGGAGGTACCCCACCCCTGATCTAGAACAACATAGCCTAACTGGAAAGTGAGTTGAATTGGCAGAATTTTTCCAAATCACCTCTGTTGTCCTAGATTGTTCACTTATCCTGCCTTCTCCAAACTCTTCACCCTTTTTTTTTTTTTTTTAATAACCCCGTTAATGTATTCTTTACAGAAAATCCTGATAATTTTAGTTGACCTCCAGTTAATTTAATAACCTGCTGTTTTTCCCATAGAGATCTTCCCACTAAAGTCAGTGTCTTACAACATTGAATGTTTGTAGCACAACAAGAAACCATAATCTTATTTTTTGGATATGAATTTGGAAGGTGTTAGCTTAAAGTGAAAACAATGATTTTAAAGCATTGATATTTTTTATGTATAGTTTGTAATTATTGGAGAAAATGGAGGCAGCCATATTTGCTATATACATTCTGTATTATATATGTAGGTGCTGCACAATGGTTGTGTCTTTGTGCTACCGTCTCTCATTCAATAAGAGCGTGCCAGTCATATCTTAATGTGGATGCAATTGTGTCCATGAGGTTGTTGAGTAGGTGAATCTAAGGGATAGTAGTGAAATACAGCAAGCCTTTATCAATAGGGTCTACAATTCTGCATTATATATGCAATTACAGAACTTGAAGAATGGTACAGAAAACATAAATTGTAAAGGTCATTAAAAAAATGCTAAAAAGCATAACTGTCATAAGAGAAACACTTAAGACTGCCATCATTGACCTCTCCCCAAAACGTTTGCTGCCTCTGGCTTTAATTCAGTCAATCACTGACCCAGAGCAAACATGCAGATATGGACTTTTGACTTTTCTAAACAGCTTTGGTCAGTGATTCCAAAAACATTAATGTTAGTCAGCATGACAACCATTCAAATAGATTTCCCAGGAAAAGAACAGCAAGGGAAACCTCAATTTCTTATATGACAGGTTTACTCTCAGCTAAATATTACATGAACAAAATATATGCTCACTGAAAATTTCTCTTAAAGAAAATCTAACCCCCAAAATATAATATACTGGAGACCTGTCCTTAGATGTCGTTGCTTTTTTCAGGCTCCCTGCTACCCCACCCTTTTTTATATTAATCTGGAAATCATCCACTATCTATGAAGTGAACCATGGTTGTCACCCAGGCCTGACTTAATACACGTCTGTCTTTATTTCCATTACATGGAAGGTGTTGGGATTAATAGATGACCCAATTAAAAAAAAAAAGATTTTTTTTCTCTTCCACATCATATCACAGAAGTGACAGGAGGGCTAAGGGGTGATATGACCAAAACCTTTAAATACATTGAAGCGGACCTTTACCCATATCTTAAATGTTTAGTAATGACAATCTACAAACACATACTTCTAGATAATTGCCGGCTTTGTATTCTTTGCATACATTATTTCTCTTTTCTTCCTCAGTCTTCTGACAGTGGTTATGTTTACTAAGGACAGATTACTAGCTCTCCTATTACTTCCTAGATTTCTGGCCTATGCAACTAGACAAGTGACTAGGACATGTCACCATGCACATCATCTTAGGGGAGGAAAAAGCTTTTCCCTGAGATCTCATGAGATTACAGATGAGATTTCCCAGCAATGCTCTGCTGATGACAAGGCAATCCCAGTGTGCATTGCTTTGGCAAACTGAAGTCATTTTGCCCTTTCAAAGCAGGAAGTGAATGCTCTGCAAGTGAAAGTATTTCACAATCACAGCATTTTACACCTGGCATGTCTATGTTATTATTATTAAGCATCATACATAGAGGGATGCATTGGTAGAATAAGATTTGTGAGTGTAAAGGTCCGCTTTAACAGTGTGAAAAGATCCAGAGGTGCAGTATTTCCAAAAAGAAGATAGGATCAAGAACACAGGGACATGACCTCAAACTAGCAGGAGGTGTTGAAACTAAACCCGGGAAGTATTTTTACCTAAATGGTAGCTGATACTTAGAACAGAATTCCAGCAGAGATGATGACTCAACAATAAGTGAATTTAAACATGCCTGGGAAAAACTCAGATCTGTACTCAAAAAACAAGGTTGGAAAAAAAAAAAGCCACAAAAAAACCCCAAAAAGGGGCAGACTCAATGAACCACTTTTTTTCTACGATCTTTCTTCTATGGACACGTCATTTCTGGCAAGATCAACAGGTATTTACGTTTTTTGCTGAAAAAAGTCTTAGCCTGAAAAAGAAAACTAATACAGCCACCAGTTTAGTTATCCTTTAAGCCAAGCAGCATGCTCCGCCTCAAGAGAAACCCAGTAAGGGGAGGTGGAAGTTGCTATTGTACTTAAAGGCATGTGAGGGAATTCATGCTGTGGTGTACGGGCCAAATATAAGTACTCATAGTAATCTTGCAGACATGAGAGAAGATATTAGGCTCAGTTCACACAGCTAACACAGTGACATAAGGATACTAATTTCCCAAAAAAGTGACAGTTATTTTTAGCCGAGTCCTATGAGATTTAACAATTATAGTTACACCGCTGAAATAAAGATCCGTATATCTATGTTAAAGGTTTTTGAATTCAGCCTAATGTCTTCAAAGTTTTGTAAGGGCTTATGGCTTAACAAATGCAAGGTCCCTACCGTATGTGTTCATATACATTTTACAAATATTAAAGACAGTTATGGGTTATATTTTTTCATTTTTACAGTGGCTAATCTAAGTATCTCATGTAGAATTGTAAACACTCTTCTAAAAACAATGTAAAATCTTATGCATCTTAGGGATCATAGGTCCGATACAGTGGAACAACCAGGGAAGTAACAATAGCCACAGCAGGTAATTGAAGTGCTGTTGAACCTCTGTCCCAGGTGCTCTCCCTGTCATCTCTTTGCTAGGTTCAAAGATTGGCAAAAACATTTCTTGTAAGCACAACAGAGCTCAAGGTTGATATCTCTGGAAATGAAAGCCACACAAAAAAAGTTCTAAAACACAGGTTGTCCACCAGTAGTACACATACCTCAGGGCCCAGGGGTACTAAAACTATCATAGCAGCATAGAGTTGCAATAACATATAAAATGCATATAATTAAAAGTATTTATATTATATTTCCAGAGAAGGGTACTGTTAAAGCTACAGCATAGAAAGACATTTCAGACAATTGTGTGCTTCCAACCTTGTGGCAACAGTTTACAGAATGCCCTTTTCTATTCCAGCATGACTGTGCCCCTGTGCAAAGTTTTGGTGTTGAGGAACTCAAGTGGACACAAACCCCTGACCCCCAACCCTGTTGAATACCTTTGGGAAGTAACCGGATGCCAATTATGAGATAGGTCTGAATAGACAAATTTACACATGTACACCTCAAAATCTTGTGGAAAGCCTTCCCAGAAGAGTAGAGGTAACAGCCACAAGGGTTAAGGGGCACAATGTCATAATAATGCCAATGGTTTTGGAATTGAATGCCCAACCAGCTCATATAGGTTTGAAAATCTGGTGTCCACAAACATATTGCCATACAGGCAGTCCTACTTACAAACAGAGGCTATTACTGTACAGCAGGGGTAGGTCTAATGCTAATGTGCTCATGCTGACGAGGAGTGCCCGCCTTTTTGGGTCTGGTTCGTAGTACTGTACGTACATTACAGGAAGTTGGCTCTAGTTAGACATGCAGACGAGGGGTGCCCATCTCTTCTTCTGGGTCACTGAGGTTTTTACTGCTTTCTGTATCCTTATTAGAAAGATTTAATCTCACTTCCTGTCCTTGAGAAAACAGGAAGTGAAAGGAAATCTACCCCTAGGAAGGGAAATTCACTCCTGTAAGTGTTCATGGGAAAAAGGTGTCTCCACTGAAGCTTTATCACCAATCCCTGCTTCCACGACAACCTAACATTATCAGGTGCACACACAGCAAAACAAACTTTACAGGGGGTAAACCCTTCCCTATGCTATCCAATTCAAAATTTTGGGGCTGAAGTTACACTTAAAAAATTGTACATGTTCCAACTTGCATACAAATTCAACTTAAGAACAAACCTACAGTCCCTATCTTGTTCGTAACCCGGGGACTGCCTGTTGAGAGTCTTTTAAATAATAAAAGCATGAGATTTTCCTCCTAGCAAATCAGGAGAACCATATATAGACTATGTGATGTTTCATCTGTAATACTTTCGGAAAAAGATCTAGAACCATTTCATTTTTCCAGTAAGATGAGCCAAACAATAACTTTATTCATAAAAAGTGTAACACTTTCTTTAATGTCTATAGATAGAAGGGTAAAATAAAAATACAAAATACTGCTTTGTTGATGACATAATGTGGGAGCCGTCTTGATACGAATCAAGTAGAAATGGACAAGCTACACAGCAGAGTGTCTGATAGAGCTCTTCGAAGTATTTAAATATTCACAGGTGGAAAGTACATGATCAATAACAGCTAGCTGAAACTGAACACAAAATAAATCAGAGAGGAGACATTTGGACACTTGCAAGTTAAAAAAAAAAAAAAATATCCAGAGTTCCATTTTTTTTCTGTACAGTGTAATTCCAGACTGTCCAGTGTCCATTTTGCTACAATTGAGCTCTCACGTGTTGTACTTATCAGCATGATCTTGTGGCAGAAGGAGATCACCTCAAGGTCTCATTTTCTTAGTGCCGAACATTTGATATGGTTCATTTAATGACAACCTTAGGGAGTTATCAATGAACCGTCTCACAGGTATAATTACTGGTCGAGTCTGCAGGCCTGAAATTAGAGCCTTATGAACAAAGGTGTAGTCCATTAAACTAACAGCACACAGTGTCCTTAGTTCGACTTTGGGTAAATTTTTTCATAGAAATAGTTCTGTGAAAGAATATAGAGTTCTCCGTCTTTTTCCCGGACTGCATGTGCCCTGACGAACTGAAACTGCTCAAGTGCAAACTCATAAAACTCATTCTCCATTTTCCAGATGTCCGACTGCTGAAGCTTTGCAGTGGTCTCCTTTGACGGTGCCTTCTTCTCTGTTGTTTTTCTGAGGTGAGACTTCTTTCCTGTGGATACAGAAGCACAGCAAATCGCACATTAAGAAAATAACAATGACAAGCAAACATGAAAATGCCAGTTATAGTTAACATTAAAGCCAACTAGAAGTTAATTCTGTAGTTTTTTTTTTTTTAGTAGAAGGCAGTAGGGAATATCGAGGTTACTAATGGCACTTCAAGTTAAATCCCCCCACCCTCCAACACACACTAAAGCATATGTCTTCCTCTAATCCCACTGTGGAGGTGTTCCGCATTTCTCTCTCTCTCTTTTAATTTTTTAGGTGCCCAGTTGAGCACTTTTGTGCTGCCTCTCAACCCATGCATTATGATCCAAAGCTCTGCATTATCAGTCCTGACCTTTGGAAAACAGTGCAGACATGAAGATCCTACATATTTCCTTATAGCAGAACTAGTCTTTTTTTAATGCAATAAACTTTACAAGTTAAAAATGGAGCCCACATACAAACCTTTGTGTCCTATGGCTTCTTCAAAAGGTTTCTCAGCTGCTGTACAGACATAGCAATAGGACATATGATTTTCTATTGCCTTATATCTTAATTTTCTGCTGGCTACACAGGCCAGAGATCAAAGACTTTCTACACATTCCACTTAGTCCCTGTTCACACCTATGCAGAGGGCCTGTCCATACCTATGCAATGTGCTTCCGTGCGACTTGAAAAATGGTGCAGAAGACTACACTGCCCTCTGAAAAGCAATATGTGGTGTATTGCTATTCAGAGGGTGGTAGAACAGCCGCTATCCTGGGTTCAGGAGGCCATATTGCCACCCCTGAATGCAGTTTTTCTTTTTTGGGATCCTAAGGGGAATATTTAATTGAACTGCTGCACCGCATTCGCATTTAGCATGCGGATGCAGTGCAGCAGTTCAATGAACTGCGGTCCCATTCACCTCTAGGTCACATTCGGCAGGTATTTCTTATCATTACATACATTGCGCTACATGAAAATACGCATCATAAAACATTAACTAGCAATCCCAAACTATTATTTTCATGGGACCGTTTAGTTTACAGAAAAGTCTTTAGTTCCACACTCATCTCAGATATGCTGTGATGACCACATTGCTGGACTCGCATAGGAGTTACATTCATTTGTTTACTGTTCACTCTTTAGCTTATACAGTGAGCTGCTATTCGGGGATGGCAGCGAGCGATAGGGATGTGGCAGCCAGCGCAAGAAAGCTGGAGCAGAAACTGTGCAACATGGGATGTTGGACAATGCATTTAAAAAACTGGGAGAAGAACCTGAATACACTAGACTACTTATTATTCCAACCTCTGCTTACAAATTAAGTTATTTATGGATTCTTCCTTATTAATCACTTAAGGACCCTTTCGTTGCCAACGCCTTTTTTTTGCACGTGTTATAATCCACATTTTATGCCTGAAAATTACTTAAAACCCCAGACAATATATATTTCCTGAAAGCCAAGACCGTGTAGAATTAAATGGTGGGAGTTGCAAATTTTCGGTCGGCTTTACAATATTAAACAGAGTCTCGGCGGGAGTTTGTTTATATGGGCCCGCTGCCATTGACGTACTATGTATGTCACTGGTTGCTAAGGGGTTAAACTTTTGAGAGTACATTTTACCTTTGTTTTTTGGTTTTAATATTTACCAACTTTGCATAATGTTTTGCAATGATTCTACTCCATTCTTTCTGGTATATTTGCTTCCTCCAGCAATGTAGATCATAAACAGCTCTTGGTCACTTGTTAACAATTGGGAGCTAATAGTATGGGTACTCTATCATGTGATCAATGTGATAGCAAATCGCAGTGATCACATAATCAGAAAGCCCTGGAAATACCCTCTTAAACAGCCATGATGTGTCGGCAGTAAGAGGTTGAAAAGAGGGGCTTTGACTTGCCCATTTCAAGTATTGTTCTCAAGTGACTCCAGTCTTGCTTTTGCCTTGTGTTTGGATATCTTACAAATTCTGATCTTAACCAATCATAAGTTTGTGTTTTTTAAAGACATATTTGCTCTCAGCATTGTTCTTTCCTTTTTACCATTTCTCAATTCTATTTTTAATATGAATTCCGGTCTCAGCTGATAATTATTTTTTTTTAATGTAGTCAGTCCTAGGTTCAGGACACACACATTAACTTTAGCCAGAAAACTCCAACTTATTCATCATGTGGAAAATGTTTTGTGGTCAGATGAGACCGAGTTACTCTCAAGCTTATTATCAAATTCCAAACATACTTTCACATGCTGGTTTTGTGTAACTGGTTCTTCTGTGCCATTCCCCCTATAGATCACATTAGTATGCAGAGCACTCGATATGTTGATTGATGCATCTTTATTCCAGTCTCAGCTACTGAATTCTGTAGGCCATTCAAAAAGTGACTGTTGGCATCTCTTTGGCTTCTATCACAAGTCCCTTCTTATTTGAAAGTTTTAGGGTATGACCTTTTATACTCTGCATATGGGCAGCTTCACCTCCTGATATTTAAACTAGGTATGTCCACTGGGATGCCCAGACACTTGGATATTGTTTTCTCTTCCTTGTCTTAAGTTAGCATTCATATTACTTTAACATTTGAATGTTAATTAGGCTGCCTATACATGGTTAGCATTTTGGGGCGATTCACAGGAATCAGGCAAAAGTCTTACAGTGTGTGACCATGCCGGCCCAACAAAAGTCGATTAGTCAACTGACTTTTGTTAAAGGAGCTGGGCCAGAAATGTTGGCCAAACAGTGACTGCACACAATGTTCAGTGACGTGCACCGGCTGTCAGAATACAAAAGCTGCAGGAGGAATCTGTTAGATGTTTTTTTTTCATTTAGCCCCAAGGCTGAACAAAATCTAATAGTGTATGGTCAGCATAAGTCTAATGGCTTGTGAATTCTGTGCAAAGCAGCAAAGGCTCTCCTCAGGTGACCGCAACTCCGGTATTGTGCATTAACTTTAATTAAGTGTCATTTTGTGATGCATGAAAACAGCGCAAAGCACAAATGATGGAAATAATAATAATTCTCCCAAGGTTAAATCAATGTGACAAAAATTCCCCCATCATAAATGAATATTTGTGCACCCTATGGTAACCAATCAGATTGCAGTTGTTACAGAAAATGAATGGAGTTCCTTCTATAAGCAAAACAGGCATTTTCTTTTACACTATGGACAAAAAGGTCAGCCGACTCTTGCAGGAACTGAAAAAGATAATGGAGTTCTTCTAAACAACAATCAGTCTGACTTATTACTATTGCAGCACACACACAATGAAAGAGAACATCTGACTAGTTACTATAGACCAGCCCTAATGTATCCAAGTTCATACCCAACAAAATTGAAGATATTTTCAATTACCTGAACGGTAGAGTTCTGTGGCACCTCTAAAGAAACGGGGCAACGCTGCCTCCAGCAACATAATAAAATCCTCCAGCTCCTCCGTCACCCCGACTAGAAAGTATTCATTTACCAGGTTGTACTTGGCTTGGTCCAGGGCCCATCTGCTGCCCACATTCCTGAAAAACAGTTCGGTGAAACATATGTTTTAGAAGCTGAAAATACATCTCGAAACCATCATCTGAATATTTTGATTAGACAAAGCATGAGAAAGATAAACATTGTATTATTAAACTCGTTTCTGGGGTTATTTTGCATCTTTCCACTAGTTACCACAGCAACGGCTGTACCAAAAAAAAGGTTTACATACTAGGACAGATGTCTGTCAGATGATGAATTGCCAGCAATAATGCCTCTACTTCAATCTATCTCTTCTTAAAGTAAACCAGCCAGGGAAGAAATACAAGGACTGGCATCTCCTAAGAATGCTAACTGCTAATCCACTGGCTTTTGTACATTTTGAACCAATTACTTGGAACAGGTATGTAGGTCAGAATATCAGTGAAAAGTCATAAATCCTAATCTGAATGACTTTTTCCAGGCCAATAGTAAAGCAAGAGTCATGCAAGATAGCCAGGCAAATAACATTTACAAAAGATAGGGGTCAACAATGGAGGGCTCACTGTTGACCTCTATCTTTTGTTTAGTTCGTGATGGGTTTCCTATAATGATGGTGTGGCGGTAATTGCTGTTGCGGTTACATTAAACCTAGAATGTTCACTGTATTGTCAATAACAAGAAATATACTTTTTTAGACCAGAAATAAATGTCAAGTCGACTGTTTGTAGAAAATGTATGGTCCTTGGGGTCATTAAAATATTATGATACTAATAGAATGCAGCTGCAGCTTAGGAGAAACTGCATTTTATACTTCAAAATTAGGGACACCTAACAACACAATAACAATTTCATTGATTATTTTCAACACATAAATGGGTACTAAAACAACAGTTATGAAGCCATAAGAAATGGAAAATAATCCTTGTTATATGGTAATGTACGCATCAAGAGTGTAAGCAGTAAAGCAAAACTATTAGAGCACGCCAGCGGGTTATATCAGGTCCATCAGGAGCAATCTAAGAACCTGCATTGGGCCAGATGTATAGAAAACAAACCACCATAACGACCAATCAGGTTCATTCATTTTACTGGAAACTCATAAAAGGACAGCTGTTACTTGATTGGTTTGGTTGGAACAACACAAATACTTTGACTTCTTTCTGTTTTTATAAACTAGCCAGTGGCAGGGTAGAAAAAAAAATACACACGCTTAAAGGATAACCTCCGCCTCAAATTCTCACTCAACCTTCATTAATCTGTTTAAATACAAAACATTGCCAACAATATGCGGGGCTGTATAATACTACCCTAGGCAAACCTGAAAGTTTACACCCATTCAAAAACCAGATACATCTTGTTGTCACCAACCACGTTACATTAAAACTGTTGCAAAAGATAAAACAAGAATACATCAAAGGCAACAAGCTGACTACCTTGTATGCAGAGCTATAACGGGGCCACCAGTCCAGTCTGCACAGAAAGAAACTATATGTTGTCTGAACTGCAGAGTCTTGTGACCTCTCAGCGCACCCTTCGTTCTTATATTGGATTTGTGCACAAATACTTATAAGGTACTCAAACAGGGCAAACAAAATAGAAAAACACAAAGAATGTAGTTGTGTTTTGCTGCTACCGCCTACTTACTTTGCTGCTAGACAATAGGCCCACCAGTGCATAACAGTATATAGAGTCCCAACACCAATGTACAAAAACCTGCAACTGTTGGTCAGTAGACAATCTCAAACTAAGGAATTGTCAGAGGTCCAGACTGTTGAGGAAGACTGCCTGCTATATGTTACCAGTCAACTGGGTGGTCTGCAGCATAGTTGCTTCCAGTTTACTTTTACCCTGCTCAGCCCGGATAAAAATGGATTATGAAAACACATTCTAAATTGGGAATCTCCATTCTCACATGTTCATAAAAGTAAAATAAATATATAATTTCTAATGATCATAAAAGGTAGCCTTCACAAAATGTAGGTTACAAACTCTCAGCGTAAGCCATCCCTTCATACTTTTTTCTCATGGATAATCCACTCCAGTGTTTGAAGCACTTAAACAGTGAAGTTCCACAAATCACTACTTGCATGTCCATAGACACACCCCTAACGCACACATAGCCATGCCAAAGCCTGCTAATAGGACAATAAGATCCCAGACAATGACCTGTGAGATATAAGCAGAGGTGTGCTACCTGTCACTATCTGAAAGTAAAGACACTATTCACTACTTGCATGTACTTAGACACAACCCCAGCACATACCGGTACATAGCAATGTCAAAGCCTGCTAATAGGACACTGAGATCACAGACAATGAATTGTGAAAAGAGAGCTGAACTGTGCTATCCATCACCATTTGAAAGTAGAGAAACTAAGGGAGAAGCTCCTGGTGGTGCTTTGAGAGTAAAAAAAGCAGAGAGTACGGTATGTGCTGACAAGTCACACAGTCAGGTAGTAGCAAGAGCTCATCGTTTACACTACCACAGTTTAGAGGCATAATAATAATAAATAAAAAAAAAAAACCACACACACAAACAGGACACCAATAAGAATCCATTAGACATTATGCCAATAAGAGTCCATAAGGGTACCAAAGTTACAAAGATGTACTAACATGAAAAGAGCTTGATCACCATTTTCTTCTAAATGAAAAATAGTGAACTTTGTCATTAGAATTTTTCATTCAAAGGTTTATATCAGTAATTTCTTATGCACAGTAACCCGTACTAACCAATCGACATCTATCTAGTACTAGTAGCACTTAAACATTAACACCTAATAAAAACAAACACTGGGAATTTCCTTCCTTTATCTTAAAGTAATATTGCTTTAGTCTACCAGTCGGGGGCTCACACTAAAGGCAGTTTTCTAAAAAGGACCAAGTAGAACCAATTTTTTAGGGTAACAGGAGGACACAAACTAGCGTCCTCCCGTCACCCTAGAAATGTCACCAGCACACCAACCCTTTTAAGATAGCAAAAGCTTAATTTATTGAAGTTTTCTGTCATATGACCAAAATGTTTGGTCATATGACAAAAAACTTCAATAAATGAAGCTTTTGCTATCTTAAAAGGATTGGTGTGCTGGTGACATTTCTACAATTGCTGACATTCGCGGCGCCATCTGCGATCACTGCGAGCACCCCCCACTACAAGGGACATATATAGGTAAGGAGTGTGACAAGGATAGTACTTATTACTTACTCCCGTCACCCTAGCAGTAGCTCGCGGTATACTGAGACGCCGCAGCTGAAGCGGATCCCGACAATTATGTCTGGATCTGCCCAGCTGCTTGACTGACAGCTGGCTCTGCCTATCTAGAGGCACAGCCAGCTGTACCCCTCCCCCGTCTGTTCCGCCAGTCAGCGCTGGCGGATCGGAGCGGGGAGGGGTGAATCCAGCCCCTCCCCTGTCACAGCAGAGAGCCGTGACAGGATCGAGAGGTGAGCGAACACCGGTATGTGTTCGCTCACCTCCCGATCTACTGAGCCGACCTGTGACAGTCTCATTGTCACAGGTCGGCTAGAACTATGAGGTGAGTGAAAAGCACTCACCTCATAGTTCTCCTTTAATACAGTCTTCAATCTCTTGTGGTTTCTAAAATCCTTGGCGACAACAGAAACTCTAGCTATCTTTCATCCAATCCTTGTCTTCTAGGCACCACATACACATTACGTTCAAGTGTTTGTAGGCATGCTACATTCTAGGTACTGGGGTGAACACAGGTGCTTTGAAGCTTTACACATTGTTTCACTATCTGATTAATCGGTATTTCTTTACAAGTTTGTTGAATTTTCCCCTTCTCTTGGGTATTTTAATTGTATGTCTCTATTCCTGCTTTTTAAACACCCACCGTGTTACTGTGTAAACTATTTCCCCACTACCCAGCTGTGTACAGGGGCGTATTTACCGAGAGGCAAACAAGGCATTTGCCTGGGGCGGCACTTTCCAGGTGGGCGGCCCTAGGCAAACGCCTTGTACTGTGAAAGTCTGTCTCACAGCGTAAAAGCTCCGTGTCATGCACGGAGCCTGCTTGTGGAGGAGAGGGGGGAGGGCGGGTGCCGGGCACAGATGACGGGAGGGGTGAGCCCAGTAGTGAAGCGATCACTGCTTCACTGCAGCCGGCCACAATACCGATCATGCTGCAGTGAAGGGAAGAGCGGCTCTGTGATCGGAGGAAGTGACGCGGTGATGGGAGGAGACGGAACAAGTTTTAGTGAGCGGCGGGAGTTCTAGTCAGCGGCGGGACTCTGTGACAGATGGCTGCTCCGCTCTGCACACAGGGAAACTTGGAGGTAGCACAGTTCAGAGGGGTCACCTGTAAGGTAAGTGGATCGACGGGGGGTGAGCACGGTACTGAGTTTGCTCTATGTGTGAGAATCACATGGAGTGGGTTCAGGCAGAGCAGCGTTCAATGTTGTACTGTTGTATGGGAAATGTGACATGGCCTCTTCCTTTTTAGAGAGGAATGGAGGCAGACAGTGCTGTTCAGTATGTAAATACTTTTCCCCCTGAGGACTTGTTCACACCAATTGCGTTGCGTTCCAGAGCGGGAGCTGCTGGAACGCACCGCAATTGCTCACAAACTTCCCCCTGCGTTCTGGGGCGGGAGGGGGCGTGGCGATGCATTGAAGTCAATGTAACTGCAGCCACGCTCCCCCGACCACAGTGCGTTCAGACGCATGGCAAAACACTTCCTGCGTTCCTTTCCACTGCAAATGCAAAAAATGCTGCATGCTCTATTTTTTACGTTTGCAGTGCAATGGAACGCAGGAAATGTTTTGCCACGCATCCGATCGCACTACGGGCAGGGGGGGGCGTGGCTACAGTGCCACTGACTTCAATACATCGCTACCACAGAATGAAGGGGGGCGTTTTGTAAGCGATTGCAATGCGTTCCAGCAGCTCCCGCTCTGGATTGCAATGCAATTGGTGTGAACAAGCCCTCAGGGGTTCATAGAAGCCTAGGGATTGTCCCTAGGTTCTGGGAGAGATGGGCAGTTTCTACTTCTCATATACAGTATGTGTCTTCTTTCTATCGCGGTGTCTCTCCGTGTGC